CGAAATAAATAGCAAATTGATATCTAACATATGCGATAACATAAAGAAATTTAAAAAAAATAAAAATTTGAAAAATGTTTATAGAGCGAAGCCTTGTAAAGAAAGCAATCAAAATTGACAGCTTAAGGAAAGTTAATATTACCCGTGAAAGAAATAAAAATGAAACCAGCAAAGCTATGGCAACAAATTTGTAGCGTGCTTTTCGGCGCATCTTATTAACTTATATAGGACAAGACATTCACTTACAAAAAACTTAAATTAGAACGAATACAATAAAATACAAATAATGCGTTCATATTATTTTTATAATAAATACATTAAAAAATCAATAAGAGCAAAGCAAATTAGGTGAAATATTTATTTTTACTTTGGGCTCTGTAGAACATTTTCCGTACTTTTATTAGGTGTCACGAATAACTTATCTACTTCTGACTCATTTTATTAAAATTTAAAAATTCGTAAAATAATGCGAAATGTTACACTTGTTTCTCAAATAATATGCAATGGTAAAAAATACACTTCAAGAAGAATAACACTAACGGTCAGTAACGGAACTATGGTAAAGTGAATGACCACGTATATCTTGAAAAACATTTTATTCGAATATTTACAGTAGTTTATATAAAATATTAATAGAACTACTACTTCCTGAATTCTCTGTCCTTACATCATTTTGTATACACTTATACAGCCTAATATGACAGGAAAACGGGATTTCAGTTCAAACTTCAGTAAAAGAATTTCTACAAACGCTGGAAGAAGTTTGCCAGTAGTTTTGTTACTTTTAAATCACATGCTATTTCGGTTTTTTCGATGTCCATCACTTTATTCATGCTAACGAATCTGAATTTAATAGTTCGAGCCTCTAACTATCTGATTAACTATATCTTGTATATCAATTTCTTGTGGCTTCATACCGCTTTTCAACATTTACTGACATATGTGAACAATTCTTATTAGAATGGTCGAGTTGAAGTTAAGTCTAAAGGATGCTAGCAGTCCATTTTAAGTTTTAATCGGTTAATGCATTAAAAACAATGATTTTGGGCGTTAAGCACATGTAAATTACTTTTATAATTTCTTTTGCTATTGAATGATAAATTATTTTAGACTGTAATTTTCATTAGAGGATTTCTCAAGGATTAGATATAATCTAGCTCTTTTGAATAATGCCAATCAACGTCTCAACTTAGCGGTTCACTGCAGAAATAATTTTACTTTCATTTTAAATAAAAAAATCTTTTCTATTATTCCTATTCTTGATCTCCATTTGAATTTAAATTTTGTGAAAGTAGCAACATTTGGATTATTTTATAATATTTTATATTGTTCTGAGGATATCCTTGTTGTTGCAACATCTTAACTTTAATACATTGAAGATTACTTGAGAATTTTTTTTTTGCTTAATAGCTTAAAGAAAATAAAAAAAGTTAAACAAAAAACAAAACAAAACAACGATTCTTTTAATGGTAAGCATTTTGTGTACTTCGCGGCGTTTAGTTGCGTGTGTTGGTTAGCGATTATTGCACAATGTGGCAACTCCGCTTAAGACACAGCCATTGTAACAAACTTTGGAAACATTTTGTTGAGTTTGTTTTTCTTTCCTCAAAGTCAGCTGCTCGACTTTATTTTACCACAGCACATTTGCATTTCAGCATAAATCTGTACTACGTTTGGTTGTTGCAGGCAGCGAATTGTGGCAAGTGCTGCTTGGTACACTACCACCAAGCTGCATCTTTGGCTTTGTTGATACTTGAATGTATTGCTGCGACTCTGCAATCTGTAACGTGCACAGCATTCATTTATCAAACTTTGAAGTAAATGACATTTTAAAATTTATCCTCACGTAAATTCCATTTTTTTTGTCTTATTACATTTGAGTTTACTTGCGGAAGGTTAAACTTAAATGTTTTGCTAAAAACGCTATAAGCAAGTCATTGAAGTCTGACTTCATTGCTGAGAAAGAACTAAAAATATATTTATCTCGTAATAAAATTCATTAAATCAAACTCAAAGGTAGCTAGGATCTCCTTCATTTCATAGCCCATAGCCCATAGCCCATACCCCGTAGTCCCTTGGCAGCAATGTGAAGGTGCATCATTGCATCTTTACATTGCTGCTTTATATAAAGCATTTTAGTTTAAAGAACCTAATAAATGGAAATAATATTACTTTTCTTTCAATCTCTTCCTTCATCTGATACATGAACTGACATGCGCTTTCTTTCAGTTTCCTGTATCAGCTCCTGCTGCTTCTTGTCGCTAACTTCCGTTCTCTTATGCGTTTAATTTTTTATTTACCTTTGTCATTTTAGATATTCAATTGCGATTTAGTTGAAACAAACTTTTTGGTTGATGTCTCTTCAGTTTCGAAAGCATCCTTTTTATTTGCAAGTTATTGTGCTTAAGTATTTGATATTTAATCTTTATAAATCCAGAAAGCAACACAAACACATACTCCTTCTCTTCTTCTTACCCGAATTTTGCACACAATTTTATTTTAAATGCGAGTTGCTTATTTTTAATATGTAATTCAGTGGAAAACTTTATCTACTTCAATGGAATTGTTTGCGAAAGTTTTCAACTTGTAATAACAGAAAGATTACATGGCAGTTAAGTTTCCGAAGTTGTAGAAATTATTTCGATATTAAGTTCCGTAGATACTTCTTTCAAAAAGTTCAAATAAAACACTTTTTTGGTTTTCGAAAAATAAATTTATAAATGTATTATATATTAACTAAATAAGTGAACACAAATAAAATAAAATTGGAAATGAACACAGAAAATGACTTACAGTTGAGTGAAACACTGCAATCATAATAGATCTTTTCTGCCACAATCGCTACAACCCTAACCGAATAAAATGCACCGAGCACTTCGGATGAGTTTCAGAATGTGCTTCTTTGAAGAGTCGAATCCTATTATTGACTGAAAACACGAACTTCCACCCTAATATTCCACTCTAGTGTAAAGATGGCTAGAAAGATACTGAACAGACACCTTTTAGTAAATAAAATAATTGGAAAACATTTATGTAGAATTTTACACCAGCCTTGATCTGCTAAAAGTTTTAAAAACTCTTCTCGAAACATAATTCACCAATAATATTAAACATAAAAGTCTTATACTACTCAGAAATATTTTCGAAATATGTATCTCTAGCAATGAAAGGTAATTCCAAAAGAATTTAAAAGTAACTGGTGTCGGCATCATATATCACATATGTAACTTAATTTTGATTTATTTCAAAATAGTATACATAAGCTTGAGGATACAACCTGCTCTTGACTGCGAGTCCCATACTTTTCAGATATTGCTATTGGCATACTATAGGTATACTATTGGTTCTTCATTGATTGCACTAAAACATCTCAAGCATGCGATACTATTCTTAACATCATATGGTGTTATCCTTTCCACAAAATGGGGATGTATTGAGTACAATCAAAACCCCCCTCATATATTTCTTTTAAATCTTTCTTGATTTTCGTTGTTAATCGTTAACCACAATTAAATTGATTTCCTTATGGATGTTGTCTTACTTTTCGCCTTTGCTATGCCAAAACAAACGCAGAAAATCAAGATTTACTACATTATAGAGTAGAGAATTAAAGGATTCGAGACAAAAATATATAAACAAAAACCATGTGGGAATCGTCAATAATATTTATACTTGTTAACTTATATAAAACATTTTTTAAACTGACATTATGTATTGTGAGATATGAAGATGTTACCAGATATCTACACTGTATGGAATATAACGTTACTTATCAGTTATCCATCCATAGGTAAGACTATATTAATTTTGTTGACCGCAAAACCATGCATGTATCTGTTGTAATTCCATGATATCTGACAGAGTTGAGTAGGTACTTTTACGTCTTTAGTATTTAGTAAGTGCTACCAAGTATTTCTAAAGATTTATTAAAGTGTCTTTTTCCACAAAACCTTGCTGGGACTTGAACTTAGATCCTGTGTGTCATAGTTCTAGTACACACATCTCAAAAAGTACTCGGACTTTGTAAATAAAACACACAAATTTAAAATTTATTTCAAATTTATTTTATCTCATTCAAAATATGCTTCTTCTGAAGCGATACACATATGCCAACGCTTAACCCAATCTTCCATACACTTTTCGTAGGCCCGTGAAGGTATGTCTTTGAGTTCCTTCAACGAATTCTCTTTTACCGATTCAATCGACTTAAAACGCTTACCACGAAGGGGCAATTTGAGTTTCGGGAACTGGAAAAAGCCGCAAGGATCCAGATCTAGCGAATATGGTGCCTGAGCGATGACAGTGGTGCCGTGTTTGATCAAAAAATCGCGTACAACAATAATTTTCCATAGTAAAAATCGTTAAATGCACTTGAGATAATGTCACATTAACAGCTGCTGTAAACAAACTAATTGACAGATGGCGCTCAAATTTGTGCCATATGTCAAGAAAGGGTGTACCAACATAGCATAATTTTTGAAAAAGGTCTATTACTTAAGGAGTAGTTAACAAACAACAAAATCCGGATACTTTTTGAGCAGAAGGTACTGTACTATAAAGTCGATATGAAATACTGTTCTCTACAAAAACTATGGTATTTTTTTTATATAAAATAAATATTGTATCATAAGAATCCATAATCGTTTCAGTTTATAAACCAAAAATATTCAAAATATTTGAGTTTTTTCTTGCTCAAATGCAACCACTTCAAAATATTTCTAAGAATTTAGATGTTATTCGCTAAAAGGTAATAAAATTTCTGATGTGCTCATAAATTTCGCCTTCTTAAATATATTAACTTCTCCTGTTACAATTTTGCATCTTAAAATTGAATAAAGAACACATACTCTAAGTTAAGCCATTTGCTGTTTGCTATTTGCTGATATGTGATATGTAGTATGTGATCAGCTTGGATTAATAAAAATATATTGTGTGCCAGAGAATTTCCTATAGTTTTGCATAAACTCAATGAAATTTTTATTTTAAATTTTTACTTACAGAAACTGTGCTGTATCGACTTCAAGTGTTGCAAATAGCCATAAAAATATAAGACAACTCATAATCTTCTAGTGCGACACAGTTTACTTTGTATGCCAAGGACGTACTACTCAATTTGCGGTGCAACATTAAGGCTTACGTATTCTGATACAAAATATCCTTTTTCATAAACGATAAACCATAAACCATAAACCGTAAGCTGATGAAATTTTCCTTTTTTGTGTAATATCTTATATACATACTAATATTTGAAAATTGTATAGAGCTGAACGGATCGCATAGACAATATGTTGTCACAAATGAGATGAATTATTTACCCGTAGCACCATTTTCATGGCTTACGAGCGGCAGCGTTTAGGCGGCGGCTTATCAACATGGATAGAAACTATGAAGTAACAATTCATAATTTATGGTTACAAACGCCCAACAAACTGCTTCTATTGGTAAGTAACATAATATTTTCTTTATTAGTATGTATACCATATTCCACAAGATTATTAAGACTTTTTAAATATTTCTCACCTAAACACTTTAAATTTATTACCAGTAATTGATCTAATGGCTATATGGTTTTGTAACATATTTAATAAATCAGTCGAAAATTGCCTTGAAACACATTTTACCTTTAATCTGAGATGATGAATAACTCGACCTTTTGTTAAGTATTTGCATTTTTTCAACTTCTATATAATAAATTATTAAGTATATATCTGCAGCAATGCTTTTTTGCCTACTGTTTAAAGTTAAATAAAATGACTTTTATGCTCTCAGCAAAATAAAAATAATGTTCTGCAAAAAAGGATAAAAAATTACACTTGTCAGGAGTTTTATTAATAACGATGCCCTTTTTATAGTTATAAAAAAAATATTTCAGAACTCAGTGGCAGTATTTCAAAACTTTTTCTATTTTCCGAGCATTGCAGCATGTTTTCCGCACTCTGATAAATGTTTTATAAAGAAGTTCAAGCATTTCCACTCAACCCAATGCACTGAATTAAATGAATAAAAAAATTAAAAATTAAAAATTAAAAATTAAAAATTAAAAATTAAAAATATAAAAATATAAAATATAAAGAAATTTGAAATGATTAAATTATTTAATAGATAATTTTAAAATTGAAAAAATGTTTTTAAAATGGAGTAAATATAATTTCATGCCATTTGGACACTTTAAATCCCAACCCGCTCGTGTACTCGACAAACTCAAGTAAAATTCTATTTCCGTTTAAGTTGTTAATTGAAAAGCATTTACGTAGAATACTCATACTGACTTGCATAATTCTGCAGAAATTTAATGACGGAACAAATGCAATTGTAACACGTGCAACCAACAAATTCCTTTAATGCCACTCTTACCTCAATTTTTCCATCTCCTATCTCAAAGAAGTCACTGACTAAATCCTTTCATCACATTCGTTTCTGATTCTGTTGTGTTTCTGTTATTTCTGCTATTTGAAAACATTTTTCCAATAAACTTTGCTTAGCACATACTTGGCATACATCGAATATTCGTATGAGGATACGAAGTATTTGCAGATTGCGTTACATGTGAAGTACGTGCTTGGAGAACTTTCTCCTGCTATGTATGCAAGCAAAGAGTGGAATGATGCAATCAATTTAAATATTTCTAAGTTATTGTACTTGATTTTAATTATAGTGCAGTAAGTTATGTACATTAATTATAGATTTTTGACTGTAAAAAACTACTTTCCGTTGTCCCATATACTTAGATAAGGTGTTCCTTCAATGGTGCTTTTTTCAATATATCGACACTCAAATACATGAAAATAAATCTCTTAACTAACACCATCTATTTATGAAGATTATCCAAGCAATGGTTAGTTATCATTGACATTCGAGTAGCACATGTCAAACTGTTTATGTCCGTGCAGAAGAAAATGCTTTTAAAGTGATAGACTGTGAGATAGTAAGAGGCACACTTTCATCTCAGTGGCTCTGTTAATAAAAAAATTCTCACATTTGGAGTAAAGAAGACATACCTAAGTTGGATATTTTTACGACAGATGGACATATAAACTATTAGGTGCTATTTATTGACTGGTCACACGATTGGCATGTAATTGTTTAAAAATTAAGAAAATTAGAATGTCATTGACAGAACATGTTCATCCATATATCTATTTAATGTATCCAAATAAACCAAATATCGAATATAAACGAATTGTTCGAATATTTTGATTAGTTCAGAATGTTTCAATATCCCATCTGTAGAGTGTTCTAGTTGATGGGAGTATATCCAGTTAAAAAGTCAGTGGTCAAATAAGTTTAAATCTATATGAAATTAAATTTTATAGGATTTCCAAATAATGATACTGAATTTCCGTCGATTGTATTAAAGTATAATAGCGCAGGGAATTAAATTTCAAAACAAAAATTAATCCTTTCCATAATTTGCATACAAAACGCTACATTCAAAGCAATTACTACGATTACTCACGATTGTTAAAATATTATAAAACATATTGTTTAAACACTTTATTTGGCAATATTGAAATCCGAAAGTACCTTTAAGAATAAGATAGAACACGTTGGATTTTTGCATAGGTTTAATTCGCCGTCAAAGTCATAGCGTCTCTTCAAAAGTAAGCGCTATTAATGTTTAATTAGTGAATTAATTAATTAATTTATATTTAATTATTATTAATTTTCTAAAGTTAATCCGATTTTAATCTCACATAACCTTCATAACAGCTACGATTGCATTAACTAAATTCAATATTAATAGGTTGGTCAACTAATATATAATAAGCTAATGCCTGTGGTAGGTGCTTACTACCACTTTCTAGACTTTGAAGAAAGTCAGTTACTTCAAGTAACTGAGCATTTGCATGCTGTACAACGTGCATATCCTAATTGCTGGGTCGGGCACATCTGAGATAAATTTGGCTTTGATAAACACTTCTTTGTTGTAAAATCCGTTTATTTAATCTAGCATTATAAGTTGCAACAATAACAAATTAGTTATTTTTTATGTTCACAAGAGGTTTCCTTAATGTTTTGACAAGTTATTAATAATTAAAAATTAAATGAAATAACTTATAAATTAATTAAAATTGTAAATTAATTAAATTCGGAAAGTATCTGAAATATGAAAAACCTATTAAGTCTTTGCATAATTCAGCTCGCATTCAAGCACCTATTTTCAAATAGAAATTTGCCAAAGCAATATTTATTGACTCAAGTTAAGTGCTCAAAAGGTGGGTTGTTGTAGCAGCAACAACAACAACAACAACTTCAACCTCAATTTTAGCGCAAATGATTTGCACGTTTTGCTGCTTCACTTAACGAATAAAATTTAAGTTGCTCTCCTGTTGCTTGATGTTGTGTATTTGGCACGTTTAAGTATATTAAATTGACTCCCAGTTGACAGTTAATTTACAATACAACACCCTCGATGCTAAGTAAAGTGAAGCCCAGAACAACACAACGCAACACACAACACACAACACACAACCAAACCTAAAACAACTTATAACACCTTGTACAAGGGTTTTTAACGTCAAGTATCTCATAGATACACTCGTCCTGGCGTGCTGGTGATTGTCTCCTCTCCCAACTCATCGACATATACACATAAAACAATTTGAATGCTGCGATTAATGAAAGTGTAAATTGAGAAAAAGACCAAAGCGAGAGCTTAAAATAACTTCTTCGTCAAATCATTTAAAAAGTGTCAATTTGTTTAAATTATTCGCGAGCAAACTGACGAGTAATTTGCTTTAAGTTTGCACAAAAGGCGAAAAGACATCAAACTGAAAAGGAGGGAAAGTACAACTTGTACAGCGGTTAATTGTAAAGGATCACCTTGTCGAGCTGTATGTAGTGTTTGTGTGTATGTGTGAATTTAATGTTTTAGTCTGCATTTTATATTCGATTCTCTGTCTCTGGCTGGCTTCAGTGTTTAGGATTTCGAATGCTTTTCTGTGGTTTCTGTAATTCAAGTGTAATTGTGGGTTTGGCTCATTACCAGCACGCAGGAGAACATTTGAGACGGAATTCTAAACCAAACAACAAATGCCATTCGGGTTGCGTGAATCCAATGAAGAAAATTACTACGAAATGCATGTGTTGGCATGAAATCAAATGGTGGAAGTGTTTGTATGCATGTGTGTGTGCGTGTGTGCGTGTGCTGGTACGCCATATTGATTTGGCCAATAAATATTTGTGTGTTTTCAATTGTTTGCGAATTGAGTGGCTTCCTTAATTGTTCTTCACTCGCTCATAAGCCACTTAAAGTGGTTTCTGTGGTTTTGAGATACTTCAAGTAATCGTCGAAACAATCCACAATTTACTTAATTTTTTTGGATACCTAATCGATTCAAGTGTTCACTTAATCAATGAATATCAATTTCATAGATATGTTTTTCTTTTTTTTGATATGAAAGGATTTGAAGTGAAAGAGTTTACTTAGCGTCTTATGTATGGGGAACACTGTTTTGTTTGCATTCCTCTTAATATTACTTCAATGTTATCAATCTGTATATTTTATACATAGCTACCATTCTTATATATCGTGTTGTTTCATAGCTTTTCTCTTGAAGCTATACACAAGCAAAATAGTAGTTGTACAGTAGTAGATTTGTCTGTTTTGCAATGACCTGCTACCCAATTACAGATAACTTATTTAGCAAGGATTTTTTGGGCTATGCTCCAAAGTTTTATATAGATTAATAAGTATAATATAGATTTGGCTATTTTGTTCTGATCTACATTAAGACCGAAAAGTTTTCGGAAATTCTCATTTAAAATTCGCGCGCTGTATATTTTTCGATATTTTAAGTTTATGTAGTTTGGCAGAAATTAAGGACAATTACTATGCCAAAAATGAGCGCGATCTGTCAGACAGTTCGTTTACGGCAGCTGTTGAAACCAGTTCACCTCAGTAGGGCGTTGCGAAAAAAACAATGGAAAAAAATATTGAACAAAGAGTTTGCATCAAATTTTGTGTTTCGAACGAAATTTCGTGTGCAGAATCGTTGCGAATGCTACAAAAGGCTTATGGGGAATCAGTTTTATCGAAAACTCAAGTTTATGAGTGGTACAAAGCCTTCCAGGACGGTCGTACGACCGTCGAAGACATTTCGCAACGCACTACTGAGGTGAACTGGTTTCAACAGCTGCCGTAAACGAACTGTCTGACAGATCGAGCTCATTTTTGGCATAGTAATTAAGGACAGTGCTGCCAAACTACATAAACTTAAAATATCGAAAAATATACAGCGCGCGAATTTTAAATGAGAATTTCCGAAAACTTTTCAGTCTTAATGTATGATCTAACTACAATAAACTTATATACGGTAGTGTTTCGAAAACTTACTGCAACGCTTTACCATGAACTATCACTCAACTGCTTGTATTCCATGCAGTTTTAAGATTTAAAGATTTACTTCAACGCTTACTATAGGCAAATACCAAGGCTTTA